AGCTAACTACCAGCTAACTACCTGACCAACTACCAGCTAACTTCCAGCTAACAACCTGACCAACTACCAGCTAATTACCAGCTAACTACCAGCTAACAACCTGACAAACAACCAGCTAATTACCAGCTAACTACCAGCTAACTACCTGACCAACTACCAGCTAACTTCCAGCTAACAACCTGACCAACTACCAGCTAATTACCAGCTAACTACCAGCTAACTACCTGACCGACTACCAGCTAACTACCAGCTAACAACCTGACCAACTACCAGCTAATTAGCAGCTAACTACCAGCTAACAACCTAACCAACTACCAGCTAATTACCAGCTAACTACCAGCTAATTACCTGACCAACTACCAGCTAACTACCAGCTAACAACCTGACCAACTACCAGCTAATTACCAGCTAACTACCAGCTAACAACCTGCACAACTACCAGCTAATTACCAGTTAACAACCAGCTAACTATCCCATCTCACTAGCTAACTGGCCACATAAGAACATGCAGCGGGCTGGATTTGGCCCCCAGACCTTCAGTTTGACAGATGTCATCCTGTTTGAAGTTTAATGGCAGATTTTTTTCATTACAGACTTTTATTATGAAAACCCCCTGCTTCTTCTCATACCATCGGTGTCTCCCGTCCCTTTCTCACCTGTCGGTCTCACCTGTCCCCCCCCAGCCCCTGTGATCAAGGTGGCCCCCCAGGACCAGGTGAACGGCAGTGGCAGCATCATGCTGTTCCTGTGCGAGGTGTTTGCGTTCCCCATGGCGCTGGTGGAGTGGAGGAAGGACGGCCGGGACGTCGTCCTGCCTGGAGACGACCCCCACATCTCTGTCCAGGTTAGGCTCCGCCCCCTCTTAAAGCCACAGCGTCCCGTTCCCTTGGAGACCGGTTGTCCTCTGTCCCCAGGCCAGGGGCGGGCCTCTGAGGTTCGAGCTCTCCAGTTGGCTCCAGATCGAGGGGGCGGAGCCTGCAGACTCAGGAACCTATCGCTGCATCGCTCGCAACGAGCTGGGATCAGTCTCCGCCTCGGCTGTACTGGCAGTACTGGGAGCAGGTGAGACACACCTGGGAGGGGAGGAGTTTATCCTGTCCAACCTGTCCTTCCTGTCTGTGCGTCCAGAGGAGCTGTCATCTGAGAGGAAGCAACTGCTAGACGACCTCTGACTCCTTGGTGATGTCGCTTCCTGTCAGCAGACCCAGTCAAGGCATGATCACAGACTTTTATTTTGGCAGGGCAACAGGATGTAGATCTGAGGGGCTTATGGTGGAATTCAGTTTTTCAAAATAAAAGACCCAGCAGCTATTTGGGACGACTTCCTGTCGAGGCGGCACTGACTTCCTGTCGTGTTGGAATCTGCTTCCTGTAAAATCTGATAATAAACCAGAATATAAATTTTTTTGTGTTGATCTTTTTCCTCAAGAAGGAATTTTTCTTCCAGACTCCAAAACCTGGAAGCCATGGCAACCATCTTCATCCTCCTCCTCCTCTCTCCAGCTCAGGCAGGAATCCATTAGACTGGATCTCCACTGGACCCTTTACTGGTTTCACTGGGAGGAGCTGAGACAGAACTTACAGGCAGTGTTCACTGACCCGGTTCTGACCCGGTTCTGGAGGCTCGGCTGTACAACCAGCAGCTGGCTCCAGTCAGTTGGCTTTGATCTGATCTGAGGATCTTAACTCTGAGGTCGTCCTCCACTCAATCATCTGGTTCTGATCCAGACGGCCTCCACACACGCACACACACACACACACACACACTCCCGAGCCAGCTGTTCTCCAGCTGAGGAAGAGGAGGAGGAAGTCCAGCTCATCTGATCTCAGTCCAGATTGCTGGCTTGTTTCTGGTGACAATGCCAACAGTGACCTTTGACCCTGATTCTGATCAGGACCTTCATGGACAGAATCCGCCGAGGCGTTGAGGGATCCATTAGGATCTACTCTTGGTTTATAATATAAAATTGTAACACTTCAAAAGTTTTTTAACTCCTGATTGTCTTGTTTCACTTTGTCTCGTTTATGATCATCAAGACGGCCATCATAAATAAAGCATTTAATATAAACACAGAGCTATACGTTTTATGGGTCATTTTAATCAACCTTTCTTCCGGAAAGGTCCTTGTCATCCGTCGGAAGCAGGTGTTCTGCACCAGATGTTTGGCTGCAGTGTTCCTCCCCGCCGGCAGGTGGCGGCAGAGCCGTTGAACTTGATGGAGAACCAGATGCAGTCTGCTTATCTTTAGCAGAGTTAGCTTGGAGGACGGAGGTGAGTTCGGTGAAATGATAAAAGAAATGATAAAGTTTTGATTCATATTAATGACTGCAGTAACGGATGGGAGCAAGAGAATAAAACCATCCGCCTGAGTTTGTTCATATCAATGTTTTCATCCGGTTGTTTTTAGCTCCGATAGCTTCCAGGTCTCTGTTTAAAATCCAACCATTTTAAATGTATTTGCTTTTTTAACTGGTCGTTTCTGTAGATATTGTGATGGTTATTAGTTGGTAGTAAATGTTAATTTGTCCCCGGTAGTTCGGCTTGGCTGTGAGGACGAAAACGTTTCTAACTTTCTATAAAGTTGAAGAAATGAAGAAATACTTTGAGAGAACAAATCCAGGATTTTCTGCAGTGTTTGGTTTAAACCAATACATCTGGTCAATCAGTTGATTTCTAGTTAAAATGTAATGAATGAGTCTGCTTGAAGCTGATGGTTTAATGAGAATGAAAGTCTTTGTCTTCCTTGGAGGAGCAGAGGTCAGAGGTCATCATGGTCAGACAAACCAGGAGGATGGAAAGGTGAGAGAATCTGGATCTGCTCCATCAGATTGCTCCTGTTTGAACTCTGACCTCTGTCTATTCTGCCCTCCCCCAGGTGTTTCCTTCCTGCAGCGGGAGGCGGCGTAGCGAAGGTACGATTCCCTGCAGGTCCTCCAGCTCAGCAGGTGTGTAAATCAAACTCGCCCTCCTTCTGCTGATCCGCCTCACCGCCTGAACCGCAGCTCCTGTCCTGCAGGCACCAGGAAGCTGTGACGCCCGGCCTCAGGGCAGTCCCACCGCCACGAGGGAGAAGAGAGCAGCTGATGGGCGGAGCCAGGGAGGTCAGGGGTCGGATGGAGGTTCAGGAGAGGCTCAGCTGAAGAGAGCGCGACAGAATGGGTCAGTTTGGTTCTGGATGAGGCATGAACACAGAAAAGCTCATCATTCTGAACCTTCAGCCGCTAAAGATTTATTCATAGTTTTTCCTCCAACAGTCAGAATCAAAGTTTTGTTTCCTGCAGAACTGAGGCGGCTGCAGCTCTGGCCAATAGGAACAAAGCCCCCGGGTCATGTGACCCAGCAGGAGGTGAGTGAGTGCAGCTTTAATCAGAGATTCATGAAGCTTCATGATTCACTGATGCTGTTTCTGTTCTTCAGATGGTTCTGGTTCTGACCAGCAGGGGGCAGGAGAGGACAGCCGAGCAGCTCAGGTGAGGAAGTAAGATCCTTTAGGCTCCTAGGATTGTTAGCATGTTACTGACATGTTGTTAGCGTGTTCCTGACATGTTGTTGAAACGTTGCAGCTGCAGAGCGTGGCCTCCCTGAAGGTCACCATCCAGCAGAGCAGCGACAGCCGAGAGTTCGGTCTGGCTGACAGGAACTCCGCTGCTCTCCACTGTCATGTCTGCAACCTCACCTGTCGCTCTCTGCAGGTGAGAAACACACCTGTCCTTCCTCCACGCTGCTCCTTCAAAATAAAGGAGTTGTGAAGAAAAACCCAGAGTGCTGTTTAAAGTGGACGCCATGTTGGCTTCATGCTTTAAGGTGTCGGCCATATTGGAAGAGGCAGGTTCATGAAACACATGATGTTTTAGAAAACTGAAGTTTTCTGAATGACAATGAACAATGAAACTAGTTAAATAATAAAAGTTAATTTCAGTTCTGTTAATCATAATCATTGAGATGAATGTTAAGATGTAGTTTATTATCAGTTAATTACTGACAATAATTATCAGTAATTAACTGATAATCTCATAATTCTGCGTACAATGAGCCAGCCAGTTAAGCTAAATGTTTGCAGAAGCTGTGTGTGTGTCGTCCAGGTGTTTCAGGAGCACATGTCAGGGCGAGAACACCTGAGGAAGCTGCAGGACATCACACAGAGCGTCCAGCTCAATGCCGGCCCCCTGCTGGACAGGTGCGGCTTCGCAGGGTTTACTGAGGCTTTAATGTCCAGAACCTGCAGTAACAGTGTCTGCCTGCAGGGGGCGTCGGCCACAGGCGCATCGCTGGTGTGACACCTGCCAGGTCCACTTCAGCGGTGACATCATCGCCCACAGACGGACGGAGCAGCACAAGGTGAGAGCAGGAAGTCTGAGAGCGAGCTGCAGGCAGGAGGCTCCCTCACCAGGGGGTGGGTGGGTGCGCGTTTGTTTGTAACACCTTGTGGGGACGATTTTCCTGACATATACTACGTTGTGGGGACCAATTGCTCCTTGTGG